CACACAGATTCAGTATTCCTCAAAATGAATACAAATAATGCAACTCAGAATATGATGCAAACCTGCAATAATTAAATATTAAACAACACAAACATCCTTTATGTATTTAATCCCATTCTATTAACAATATCTTTGCTTCTGAGCTTCGATGATCCAGTTCAACCGTACTAATAAACACAAATTACTCTAGACGAACATTTGTGTCTTTGTTTATTGCTGAAGTGTGTTGATATTTCTTCTTCTGCATTCTACTGTACGGATGTAAATGTACTTTCCCTTCAGCCTGAGGCTTATTCATTTTACTTTGGGTGTGAAAAGGCGTTTATATTTGCCAAAAATATAACTTTTTTATTTTAAAAACAAACAAGCAAGTGCCAAAGTTCCTCCTCGCCTGGTGCCGGTCACTGAAGATCATGACCGAATGTACACCGTCCTGAAAGAGTCAGGATTGGACTATGTAGCCGTCATGCCTCCGCATATTGCTGGTAATTAGCTCTAAAAGATCAACATCCCCAAAATATGGATTTCATTTAATTGTCTGTTTTGGTTATTTTTCAACCAGGACCTTTACTGTATGTTTAAGAAAATATGTGATTGTTGTATTTCTAGGTGACAAACCTCTGACAGAAAAATACACTGTGACTGAGAACATGTTAAACGGAAGAGTTATCTCCAAATATGACCTGGGCCATTTCTTTGTCAAGTGCTTTTCTACTTCTGAATGGGATGGAAAGACGGTTGGAGTTTGTGGAGGATATAGTTAATCTACTCAGGGGCACTTAATAATTGTTGATTTATTCTTCACTGGCCAAAGTGACTTTACTTTTGCAGCAGCCTTATTTTATACATTTTTTTTTTGCTACTTATGCCATTGTAGAAGTGTCAGATAACTGAAGCTTTTTAAAAGTTACTGATTGCACCTATAAAGCTTTTTTTTCCTTTCGTAAACATAAACTGACCAGCAATAAACGTATCTATAGTTAATCTTAGAAGTTACTGAAAAATGGATCGTTGGAGAACTTCTCGCTGTTTGTTTCGCCTTAAGAATCATTGAATGAAAAATGATGTACTTTGCCTAATAATGTAATCATTTTATGTTCTGTGTTTAAATAAATATTATTTAAATTATTCTCGTTTACGTTGGTAGTATATTATGTGTATTAAAGCGATAGTTCGCCCAAAAATGAAAATTCTGTCATCATTTACGCACCCTCAAGTAGTTCCAAACCCGTATAAATATCTTTGTTCTGCCGAACAGAAAGGGAGATATTTTGAAGGAAGTTTGTAACCAGGCTGTTTTGGGGCACCATTGACTTCCATAATAGGAGAAAAAAATACTATGGAAGTCAATGGTGCCCCAGAACTGCTCTGTTTCCCGCATTCTTCAGAATATCTTCCTTTGTGTTCGGCAGAACAAAGACATTCATACAGGTTTGGAACTACTTGAGGGTGAGTAAATGATGACAGAATTTTCATTTTTGGGTGAACTATCCCTTTAAGAGACACAAAAAGTAGTAGGTGCTTACGCAACTACAATACCCGGCGTGCATTTCGCGCGTGACGTCAGAACTGATTGAATCACTGGCGGGACAAAAAACCCCCAGCAAACGCTTCCAGTCGCCCGACGCTTCAGCAGCGTTATATCATTTATAGAAGGCGAATGCATATAAATCTACACGAGTTACATCGATTTTGGAGTTCGTTTACATTCTTTACAGGTGAGTAAAACATGTCATCCAGAAAGTTAACATGCTAAGCTAGCGCACTGATTTCTGCTCACACAAACTCCTGCATACATTGAATACATTACTTGTTTTTGTGTCAATTTAAAAATGTTTTACTTTTGTAACAGTTGCTGTTCCGGAAGGCTGATATTGTAAATATGCCTAGTTCAATTCTAATTACTTTGTATATACAAATGTCTATTAAAAATCAGTCTCGAGTTGTCGCAATACATAACGTTACAGGCATAGACTCGAATACGGTTTCGATGTAATTAAATATAACTTTAATAGAATTAAATATGATACAGTCCGCCCCACACATTGGCCTCATTTCTATCAGTTATAGTTTAGGTTGTGCATTTAGGTAATTATATTAAATATTATAGGATAAGATGACTCCCACCTTCTTTTTCTCTCTTGATGATAGATGGCACAAAGTCTCAATCTCAACTCATTTAATTAATGGCTTTAATCTCCTTCATTTTGTCATTTGAGCTGGTTATGAACATATGTGAGATTTAGCCTAACAGTTTATTGAGCTATTTTTGTGTCTCTGGAAATGTTAGGCTGAATATCTTTAAAAAAAAAAAAATTTTTTTTTGAGGTACTTGAATGTAGTATACATATATGTGACCCTGGACCACAAAACCAGTCATGAGGGTCAATTTTTCGAAATTGAGATTTATACATCATCTGAAAGCTAAATGAGATTTCCATTGATGTGTGGTTTGTTATGATAGGACAATATTTGGCCGAGATACAACTATTTGAAAATCTGGAATCTGAGGGTGCAAAAAAATCCAAATATTGAGAAAATCATCTTTAAAGTTGTCCAAATGAAGTTCTTAGCAATGCATATTACTAATCAAAAATTAAGTTTTAATATATTTACAGTAGGAAATTTACAAAACATCTTCAAGGAACATGATCTTTACTTAATATCCTAATGATTTTTGGCATAAAAGAAAAATCAATAATTTTGACCCATACAATGTATTTTTGGCTATTGCTACAAATATACCCCAGCGACTTAAGCTCCAGGGCCACATATTGTTTATTTTCTAATAAGGAATTTGTGGACACAATGTTTTTAGAGTTGTGCAATAAAAACATTTTTAAAAGTAAAAAGATAAAATTAGACCCTTGGGATAAAATGCTATTTTTTTTATTATTTAAAAAACAATTTTTTTTTTTAAATTTAATATTAATTGCACTTCATGGAGTTATTGTTATTTAGTAACTCAATGAGTTGAACAGTTTAGACGTCTGAAATGTACATTAAAACCTATAGGCTATTTTGACATATCAATTAAAATATGGGAAATTAAATATTTCTATATTCGTATGTAGTCGTAGAATAAACTTACCTTACAGATTCATGTTTTTTACTGAGATTTTCTGTCTTTGAGTATTCTATTATCAAGTCTCTAAATGATTAAAACTACTGAATAGTTGATTTAGTACTTTACATGAATTGTATGAAAAATCATTTATACATTCTGTGAAGCTTTAGCAAATGGTTTGGTAATATGGCCTCTTTGAATGATTCACATCATCCTCGCTCTACTGTGTGACGTGTATGTTTTGCATTTCCTCATAGGAGCAGTCTTAAACTCAAACTCACTGTTGTTTTGCAGTGTGAGAAATGGTGGCCCAGGGACAGAAGCGTAAACTCCACAAGGAGGACGAGAGAGGAGGTTCAGCGTGGGAAAGTCAGCTGCAGTCCGTGTTGGACATCTCCATGGATAAGTTCCACCGCGACCAGGCTCTCATGGAGCCCTGCTTATTACGGTCGGTTCTGATCAACAACACACTGCGGCAGGTCCAGTCCGAGGTCCGGACGCAGGTCGAATCGCTGTCCGCTGTAAAAAGTCCCACGAAATTAAAACCAGAGCCCGATTTTACACAATTATCTCCTCCAGCGGAGCATAATGCACCTTTATTGTCACCGAATGCTGAAAATATAGAGGATACGTTCATGGCCTGGACTTCAGAGGAGGATTTCTCTTTATCTTCAGCCATTTCTGGCATTCTCAAAGATCTAGATGCAGTCATCGACGCCGGTCAAGGGCCTTGTGCATCTCAACGGGCTCCGCTCAGCTCTGTAGAGAATCTAACACCGTGTCCTCTGAGGACTGAAAGAACGTCTGACATGGCATCGTCCGTCAAAACGGAGCTGATGTGTCCTCAGGATGTAGCTCTAGATAAACTTCTCCTAGACATCGACACGGCTGTGTTTGAACCGGAGGTGAACCTTCTGCAAGGTTTCTCCGTCACGACCGAAGATCTAGTGAAGTATCTGCCATCCCTGTCCAAATCCCCATCAGCATCCTCTTCCTCATCTTTAGTCTCTCACTGTCAGGCCACATGGGAAATCCAGGAGATAGAGCATGTTATGGACATCCTGATGCGAACGTACCCGCAAAGCTGATTTTGATGATGATCTGTTCCTTACGTTGAGGTTATGAACAGTTTTTATGGAGGTATACTGAAGAAATTTCCACAAGGGATTGAATAAGGCTGTGCTACCTCATGTTTAACAACCTGTCATGTTAAAAGTAGTTGATCTCAAGGTCAGATGGTTAGCAGCAGTCTTTAGTCCTCTTGTTTATGCACATCTCGTTCTGTTTCAAGAAATGATCTTTCATGCAGATTCATTCAAGGCATCATTGAACAGAGTTCAGCGACTGTTATACACAATTTTTTTTAAAGTGAATCCTTCCAAATGTGCCATTTTGTTTATTTTTTATTACTTTATGAATAATGTTATTCTCTGAAATATGCACTTTCCATTGAGTTTTAGTGTAATATGGATTCTTGCATAGTTTGCAGGTTACCATTCGGAGTGTCCTTTAAATAGACCAAGGTCATAAAAATGATATTATAATGTGTATTTACATGAGCATTATGAATAATACTGGTGCTGTTTCAGCAGATGAACGTGTAGTTGCCTATGCAAAATATTTACTATGCCAATGTGAAATTATAATGTGAATATTAATCACCCTTTGTATTCTATTGTTGTACTTAAAATAAAGTGGTACTTGGTGACATCAAGTGGCTAAATAAGTAATTATATTTAAGAAACAGAGACCGTTCCCATACTAGACCATGTCAAATTGCTATTTGGAGAGAATGCTATGGAGATTAATTTATAATTTAAAATCTAATATGTAAATGGTAATAATTTCCTATATGAAAGGGATAAGATACAGATTACAAAATGAGACATACCATTTTCAAACTACAAAAAGCTTACAATAAAAGGATAAGCCTTTAACGAGTCTATAGAAAAAAATACTTAATTTTCTGTCATCTGAAAAAAATTTGATTAATATTTCACTAATACAAGTCCTAATATGTACAGAAACAACATGAGAGACGGGAAACTTGTTTATTCCACTTAGAAGAGATCAGGAGCCCGTTCTTCGTACGTGGCTAACTCCGTTAGCTGGATTTGATTGTTGACGATTTGGCTTGATCTTGGATTGTTTGGTTCTTCGAAGCTCATCCCGGACTTGCTGTCATAGCAACAAGTCCGTAAGATTAAACCTGCTCAGGAGCAGCTTATTTCGTGTAAACAGGATTAGATTGCATCTTTTTAAGCAGAATTGATACTTAAAATCTGTCCTCTACCACTGCTACTTTATTACAAGAGTACCCTACTGAACCAGGGACAATCATTTAAAATAATAATCATTTAAAAATTAATTTAAAAATAATATAATGTGTAGTCTATAATACTATAGACACACCCGGTTTTACTCATTGAAAGATTTATTTGTCATAAAATAATTACTTCATAATTGTAATAGTCTTACACACATGCTGTACAGATAATGTAGAGTCGTGCATTAATTTAAGTGCTTATTATGGGAGTGGCTTGGTGGAGCGCAGGAGATACACAGAGAACTTGATCTTGACCCTTAAGAAACTTTAATGCTGTCACGTAACAAATCTGTTTCAAATATAAAATTAAATGAATTGCCAATTACATTGAAATAAAAATGTAAAGCCTGTACAAAAAATAGAATAGAAATCGTGAATATAAACAACTGGAGTCATGTTAAAATATTAACGTAAAATAAAAACAGTGCACATTTCATTTATCTATTATAACATTTATGAAGTTTTGTTCGCTTGGCTGTTTTCTTAATAAAGTTCAGAAATTTGTCAAGTTTTTCGTCAGGTGTCTTTTTTAGTTATATGATGTCATTACGTTGCTGTCTCTCCAGCCAATCGCTGCATTGCTGATCGTGGTTTCGAGTATCGATACATAAGCAACCCATGAACACGCAATTATCTCAGATAACTCAATCCAGTCATACTAATCATCAACAACACTTGCGTTCGAAGAACCGAATTAGCCAGATCCCAATTATCGCGATGATATCTTGTCATTTGATCTTGGATATAATAAGCGACGTACGAAGAACGGGCCCAAGGTTTTTTTTTTTTAGATTGAGTGGTAGGTTATTTAAATTTATCTAGGCCTACACAATGACATGCTTATCACAGATTTTTTTAAACCAATTTAACGAGAGATAAAACAGGGTGTGTAAAGTACAACCTTCCTTTAAGATATATTTTTTATCACACCTGGCCATACAAATGCATCAAGTCACGAAGTACCAAAATTACTTTTATTTTTCTGTGCATGCATTTCTTAAAACACCTTTTGTTCTTCTGACAATGAATATCAGGCACCTTTTTCTTCCCTACAATCCAACATTGAAAATACAATAGCAATGATACAAAGAATATTTATTGAACATACAGTACTATAATAAAGACAAAAAGATTGTGTTCAGCATAACCACTGGCTGCACAAACCTAAATAAAAAGCCAATTATAAAGTGCATCTGAAGTTCTCCACATGCCTGGACATCAAGATCCACCATTAATTAGCTCTGAAAGCAGTGATTCAATTCATTTCACACACACACACACACAGAGAGAGAACAGTATTGGACAGGTGCAAGCAGCAGCATTCTCTTCCTGTGGTCCAGAGCGTGGACTTAGTCCATGCAACAAAAAAAATAGTCACTTAATGATCTGAAAACAGTCATCAGTTATGAATCCTACACAAAACAACACTAAAGAGGACACAAGGAGCAAGTTTTCAATTTCCTAAAGCAATGTCAATATCCCTATAGTCTTAAAGATCAGATTTGGCAACTCAACAGAAACAGAAAAAAGTCATTTGGTTCGTGAAAATGTTCTTCCCAGATGCTTTGCTCCCACAAAGCATCAGTAGCGGTTTTGTCCAACAGTGAGGTGTACTGTATTGCACATCTCGATTGTCTTGACCTTAAATTGCAACGTGTTGATGTTAAAAGTCCAGACGATTGTGCAGGACACAGTGAAAGTAAGTGACCTCATCAGAATGTGGAGCAAACTGCTGTTTTATCTATTGATGGAGTTGTAGGACACTTGAGAGCTGGGATCCAGAGGATTAATTGAGGCCTTCTCTGCCTCGGGCGATTCATCATCAGGCTCTCGCTCTATTATTGGCTCTTTATCCTCATCTTCCTCCTCGCAGCTCGGCAGCTGGAAGAAAGCAGTCCAGCCGTGCACATCTGCAAGCTTGTGGAAAGTACGAAGGACCAGGAACATGACCATCAAACCCACAAACAGGTAGACTGCAAGAGAAAAGAACGAGAACTCATGTAACCAAACAATTCAGACAACAATTTCAGGTACAATTTCAAGTGGAAGTAATTCAGAGCTGTGAGGAACAGAAAAAAATAACTACATTTATAACACACATATACATATATATATTAAAAAAAAATACACACACATATATGTGACCCTGGAGCACAACAGCAGTCTTAAGTCGCTGGAGGATATTTGTAGCAATAGCCAAAAATACATTGTATGGGTCAAAAGTATTGATTTTCTTTTTACATACATGTATTTTTTTCCTTTCTTTTTTTATTATTTATATCCATTTTTATTTGGATTTTACCACCTAAAACAGTATTATCTTGAGACACATTATTGCTGCATGGGATTCTGAAATTAACACCTAAAACTGTATATTTTATTTGTTTTCCTGCTTCTGTTTTGTAGACATTTCATATTTTCATACAACAGACTTCATAAAACTATACACTTTTTACAAACAGTAAAAAGTGGGCACTGCATGACTATTTAGGTCATAAAAGACAATTTCAGCTCTAATCCTCTTAAAAGATGAAAATTACTGTACAGGTCATGCTGACACCAAAAGCTGATAAAAGTAAAAATATTTTATTATATACTTTAAAAAAACAAACAAATATATTATAAATATTAATTTTATTTTTATATGTTTTGTTTTGTTTAATAAAAGAACAATTATATAACATTTAGGTCATACTCTAGGAGCTAATAAAATTGTGCGTACATACATACAATTTTCTTTTTTGTTGGAGAAAAGTTTAAAAGGCCTTTCTTGGTTAAACCCTTCACACCCTGATCCTTCTTTTAGCACAAGCAAAAACTCTCTAAAAGAAACCAGCATTACTGAAATTGGAAAGTGGCTTCTCTTACCCATGACTGATATCTTGTACAAAGCTCTGAGTCTCTGTCCTGGCTTTTCTGCCGGCACAAAGTCTCCCAGTCCTATAGTGCAGAGGGAGATGAAACAAAAGTAGAAGGCATCTAAGAAAGACCAGGTTTCTTCTATGGCGCTGAACACCAGTGCAGGCAACACAAAGAAGCCGAGCACCACCAGAAACAGCAGTACGATGAAGTGCACCACACTGGCGGTGCGTGGCTGCAGGCCTGCCCTCCGCTGGCACATGGAGATCGGCCCGTAGGTCAGAGGGTGCATGAGGCGCTGGACACAGGCTGTGAGCACTAGCATGGTGAAAGGCACTCCGATCAGAGCATACACGATGGAGAAAGCTTTACCCGCATCAGAGAGCGGCGTAGTGTGGCCATATCCTGGAAGAGAAGGAAAGTAAAATAAAGTATTTCCAACAGAAAAACAATGCAAGTGAAGTCGCTTTGTAAATCGTACAGATTTGGAACCACATGAGGGTGAGTAAATGACAGAATCTTTATTTTTGGCTGAAATATCCCTTCATCTTGCCAATTATACAATGCACATGATTTCCTGACAGCATAAAGCTTTTAGTGTAATCTAATACAGAGCAGGGGTCAGCTAAACAGGTTAACATGCTCAATGAAAGGAAAGCTTTATACAGACACACAGGTCAAAGGATTGATTTCCCATGATACTGCTTGCAGGACCTAAACTGAGAAGTCCAGTTAAAGCAAACAAAGCTTGCACTATGCCTAAACTTAGAAGACTGCAAGAGAGTCATATGTGGGTTTGCCAAAAACAAATTTCATCAAATAACCTTAACATCACTTTTAAGGATAATGTTCGTACTCTAAACACGGAACTGCGGTTTGACAGAGCTGTAATGCATAACTCATGCACAATACAATTTGAATGTTACTGCACACATTTGTGTTGCATGCAAATTTTCTTCTTTTTCCATGTATGACAAGGACAAACTCATTACTCAAGAAGAAACAGTTATTTACAACCTTACAATATAATTAAGAGGTCTTTGCTTGGTGCAGATGACAGCTACAATTAAAACGGATGTAAAAAAAACAAAACATGGTAGCTAATCTAATTATATGCCTCACAAGTACACGAGAAGTATTTAAGATATACACACTGCACTCGAAATACTACACAACACTAGGCTTAAAAGTTAGCTCCAATGTTCTTTTGTTATACTGAATTATTTCTCATTTGAAACCATACTCCATCTGCTTCCCTTGCTATCCTTTACAGGTGACTTGTTATCCTGCACATTTTTTATTATAATTAAATGAACAAAGGGGTGAATTTGATATATTTTCAATACCAACACGAGTCAAGAAGATTCAATATTTTATTTGTTTATCTGCTTGTCATGCAACAACTGACATAAGACAGCCTAGAACAATTAATTGAAATACTAACTTAAAATATTAACTTTTTAGGTCAAAAGAGTTCAGCTGACAAATAACTTTGAGAATCCATGAACTAAGTTTGCGTTCTGCGGTTTAAACATTTGTCAGAAATCATGTTATTAATCAATTTTGGTTTAATGAAAGGTCTAGTTTTTAGTATAGTCTTTTTAGATGAAAATATGTATCTGCCTTCACATTTTAGTTAGACGTCCAACACAAAGGGCAATCAAAATGTTTGAAAAAAACCTGTTTGCCAGCTACATTTCCATCCTGTTGAACATCTTGTTGATCTTGCCATTGTGCAAATAAAGTAAAGTGAAATAAAGTGATAAAGTGCCTAGGCGAAGACTGCTACATCAAGTTATAAAAGAAAAAAAAAAGTATTTATTTAGTGAAGTAACAAAAATCAAAAGCACTGTAACAGAAAGGAACGCTACTCCACTACGCTACTTTACTGTTACAGTAGCCACTAGTTTGTTCAGTTCTGGCGAACTTTGGAACTTTGTTTTGCAGCGCTTGTCATGTTTGTGATGTTCTCGGAGATGAACTAACTGTAGTATTCTACACACGCTTCAGATAAACGTAGGCTATACACGTCCGACTTGAGAGCAGCATCAAACAAACATCGCGCAACATCCGTTCAACTTCGTTCCTGTGAAACTCACCCACTGTCGTGACCATCGTGTTTGCAAAGAACAGCGAAGACGCCAAATCCCAGTTTGTACGGACTGTGGCATTTTCAAGGACCGACACGCCGTATTTATTCGCTCTTAAAACTTCTTCCAAGAAAACTTCAAGAGCCGTGGCGTTGATGCAGCTCAGGTTGAGGAACTCGGCTTTCAGGGCGCTCAGGTCTGACTTCAGTGTTTCTTCGACGGGCCGCTCGATGGCAGAGAAAACCAGCGCTCCCAACAGCAAATAAGTGATGTACGCCAATATGAAGCCGCTGAGCACAAAACAGGCCTTGAACGCCGTGGACATGATGGGATTTGAGAGCAACAAGATAACAGCGATTCTTAACTCGCTTCACTGATGTGTGTTGGACTGATTGAACTCCACCCTCTGACAAAAGTTGGCCAGGAAATAACCCCTGTACTCAGTCACATGGGTGATACTTTGAGTTGTGTGGGGTTGTGTGGTGCAGAACAACCTTTTCATTCCTCATAAGAGCGCTTTCATTTACACTCAACTGAGAAATGCATTATATGCTATCAGGAGTCTTAAAGGGGTCATATGATGTTGCTAAAAAGAACATAATTTTGTGTATTTGGTGTAATGAAATGTGTTTATGCGGTTTAAGGTTAAAAAAACACATTATTTTACACATTGCATCGCGCCGCATAAACATAAAACCATGTCTGCATTTGTGATCGGAGAAATGACAAACAAGCGCTACTCTACACTGCTCAAAACTCTTGTTTTGAATCATCAGTGGCAAATCCTTTAAATATGAAAAACGTACTTATAGTCTGTGAGTCAGAACAGCCGGCATTATAGTCTACTCTCCCAGGATCAGGAAACAGTCCTCCATATTTGGGTTAAACTGTTCTGGAACAGT